GGGAAGGAAGGGGAGGGTCGCCCAGCTTGACGGGACGGAGGTGACTCGGGTCTCCCTGCTCAGGCATGGACAGCTCGGCCATGGGACCCTGGAGGCAGAGCAGGAGCCAAGGCTGCTGGAGGCGCTGCAGGGCCTGCCCATGGCCGAGGTGGCGGCCGGTGGTTGGCATTCCGTGTGTGTGAGTGGTGAGTGACCCAGCACTTCTCAGACCCTCTTCCCCTTCCCTTGCTGATGTGCTGATGAGCGACATTAAGCCCTACTGCCCAATTTGAACTCAGTGGCCCCAGGGCATGGAGAAAAAGGTGGCGAGTGGTGGGCAGGGATGCCGTGGTAAGTGAGCCTGTGGAACGACCACAACTGGAGGCCGGGGCCAGGATGAGAGTTAGGGATGTGGCATTTACCGCAAGACGGAAATCCAAGGGCAGCTGTTTCCTAGGCGGTGGGAGGTGCCCTCACAAGGAGGATGGATGAGCTGAGAGCAGACCACCTGACTACTACGTGCAATCACCAGAGAGCGTAAGAAACCTCCTATCATCATGCAGTGAGATTGCACCAACAGACCCGTGAGCCACTGGGCCGGAAACAGCCCCAGGCAGGGTCTTACATCCAAGGCCCCAGGAGAGGCTGGGGCCTTCAGCCCTGGCTTAGCAGCTGGGGAGCTGACTCTTCAAAGCAGCCTCTTGAGTTCCAGTTACCACCCTTGCCCCCTCGTGGCCTTCCCTGGGCACTTAATCCCAACCTCTGTTTCCTCTGGAATCTAATGGGGGTATGGTGGTGCTGCGTTGAAACTTCCGTGATTAGAAAAGTGCCAACAACAATGGCCCCGAATATGCACCTTACAGAAATGATCAACTCTTAGTACGTTTTTAGCAATAGGGCTGTTACTCTGGCCATAAAAAACTACAAAGTATTGGAAGAAGAATGGAAACAGAAGTCCTCCTGTTAAGAGGCGTAAAGGGTGGCCCTTGAGAGGATGGGCAGGAGTCCGTTCAGAAAGCTGCTGGCAGAGGCCAAGTTGGCACAGCAGGTATTAGGTGCCTCAGGACACCTGGGTACAGCAGGCATAGGGGCATGAACAGATGCAGGGGGCTTAGGAGGCGGAGAGGGGTTGAGTCTGTTTAATGGGTTCCCCTTGTCTCTCCTTCAGAGACAGGGGACATTTATATCTGGGGCTGGAATGAATCAGGGCAGCTGGCCCTGCCCACGAGGAGCCTGGCTGAGGAAGAGAAGACAGTCGCAGGAGGTGAGGACCCTTCACCCCCACAGCTGCCTGTCTAGGACGTTTCGGCACCTCTCTTTTGATTCCTGGGTGCTAGTGTGCATCTTTGGGACCTTTATGGGGCGTTGTTGCTGGTCTTGTTGCACTAGATTGGCTGCAAACCCATCTCCTCCAGCACTTCCTGTAGAGTGGGGGGTTGGAGCGCTGTAGTAATGCGCCCCCAGGAGCCACTGTGACGAAGTGTTTAATGAAGGTTTAGGCTCGTGCTCAATTAGTGTTCCCCATCATCATCATCATCTTAACTTCTGTTCTCTGAAGCCTCTGGGCTGCCCCAGGACGGTTCTGAAGTGACAGGAGCCGCCAGGCCTGAGGACACAACTCCAGCTCCCTTCATCTCTGTCCAGCCCTTCCCAGCCTTGCTAGACCTTCCCCTGGACTCAGATGTGGTCAAGGCCAGCTGTGGCTCCCGACACACTGCGGTAGTGACACGTGAGTGGGGCTGGACTGGGGTGGGTAGTCACACCTCCTTGCTGTCCGGCTGCTGGCTGCACAAAAGGGTGTAATCGACTTAAAACTGACCTAAAGCAACTGTGACACATCCTAAGTAGTTGCCCACTCAGCAAATGAAGCCACAGTGCCTTCCCGTGGGCTTTGGCCATTACCTGCCAGCCTGGCAAGCCCAGGCTCCTCCTCCTCGTCCCAGCTCCACACACAGGCAGACTCGTTCCCCACAGCACAGCCCTGTCTGACCCACTCTTACCTTTTAAAACTCTTGAATTCAAAGGCATGTAATGTGGGCTTACCAGTGGGCTTACCAGGTGGGCTCTGGGAGGGTCAACTTCCTTTTCTGTCTGGCTCCTTCACCATGCCAAGTGTTAAAAGAGGAGGACTATATTGTTCTCTGCCAAGCAGCTCTCGTGAGGATGGTGATTGTGATGCTACTGGCTGCGAGTTGTGCCAGACCAGGCTAGACGAATGCGTGAGTGCAGCCGCCACCCGCTTGGTTTTCACTTGCTATTGTGAGAACATGCAAAGCAAAATACACTCCCACACTTTCTGCATTAGCAGTTGATTGACATTTCTGCATGCAGTCACGGCCACGCTCCTTTCCAACTTTCTCTTCCATTACCATCAACTCACTACCCCTCGGTGTTCTGGCTAATCTTTCAAGTTGCCGTTGTCAAATTCAGCTCACAAACAGGGCTTAAAAGAGCAGGCTGCTCAAGGCAGGCATTCTTCACTAGGGAAGCTAAACTCTGTGATTTAAAGAAGACATTGCGGCTATTTTTTTGTTTAAGATTTAAAGAATATCTCAGGGCAATAGCTGTAGGGGCTCAGCCAGCTTTCATGGCTCTAGAAAGGCCGGATTCCATGAGCATTTAAGTCTGCTCTGCATTTTCTCCTGTTTGAACAGGACTCTTCTGTTGAGCTTTTTTATCAAAATGGTCCGTAATGGTGACCAGGCTGGTGGTCGTAACGAGCCACACCTCCAGTTCCGGATTCTCCTGCTTCTGTTGCTCCAGGCAGCTAGTGACTAATTTTGCCACATACGACGGCTTGCAAACTTTTAAGATCCAGGCACTCAGCAACTGAACTAGGAGTACTAACAAGTAGTATATTTTTTATTAATTTTTAAAAATCCGTTTTATTGGGGGCTCGAACAACTCTTATCACAACAAAGTACTTTTAAAACTTTTTATTGCGAATTAGGGCAGGGTTTACAGAGCAGATCATCAGTTGTACACTCAGCTATTCAGACCCATTTTATTTCAACTCCTCCATTGCCATCCACGTGATATACAGCACTCAGTCACCGTCCATTTCCTGTTTCTGTTCCTTTGACCTGTCGCTGCCCTTCTGATCTGGTGGGTTATTCTAACATGGGGGCGGTGGTGGAGTGAGCTCACTTCTGTGCCTGAAGAGTGACTCAGGGCCACAGTCTTGGGGCCCCATCAGCCCCGATCTCACCAGTAAGTCTGATCTCTCCTATCATTCTGAGCTCTCCATATTTTCGGACTCTATCCAGGTTTTCCAGTGCCTTCCCACTGTTTGGTAAAGCCTTTTGAAGAACTAATTTTAGAATGTTCCATGTACTTGGCTTTTGGTGGTGTTTGCATTCTTGCTCTTAAGTAGATAATCCACTGTTTAAGAGCTAGGACTAACAGCACCATCCTTGATTTTTCCAAGAATTTTATGGTTTCACATTTAACTGCTTTATCCATTTTTTGTGTGGATGATGTAAGCATAGCTACGGCTTCTTTTTTCTAAATTGTGGAAATCCCGTTTCCCAACACTGTTTACTGAAGAGACTGCTTTCTCCCTGCCCTTTTGTGTAGGCACGGGGGAGCTCTACACCTGGGGCTGGGGTAAGTAAGCCTTTGCTGTGGTGGTGGGCAGACTGGAGCAGACCAGTAGCAGCAGGCGCTCCCTCCCAGGGTCGGGGGACAGGTCAGAGATCAGATGGTAGCAGTCCTTCCTGCCGACCTTCTGGAGATTGTCTCTAGGGAATGTGTATTAGGCAGCATTATGAAACCTCTGTGGGGTCTGGCACTGGAGGAAGATAAAGTAAGCATCCCTGTTCTGAGCATCTCCGCTTGGGTCCAGGGAGATCTGGAGGGGCGTCTAGGCTGGCTGGAGTGGCTGCTGCTGGCCCCCTGGGGGCCCAGGCTTGCTTGCCTGCCCTCCGGAGCCTCAGGGCCTCAGGAGCAGGGTGGGAGGGGAAGCAGCAGCCCTCCAGTAGGCAGCTGTCGGCACCTCTCCGAGGGGAAGCAACAGGCCCAGGGAGAGTGGCAAAGGGGCTCCTCTCACTTTAGGTAAATACGGACAGCTTGGCCACAAGGGCACGAGCAGCCTGGATCGCCCCTGCCGTGTGGAATACTTTGTAGACAAGCAACTCCAAGTACAGGCTGTGACCTGCGGCCCCTGGAACACCTATGTGTATGCTGTGGAGAAAGGGAAGAGATGATCAAGCCTCTGCGTGCATCCCAGTGGCTAAACAAGAAAGCCTAACCCGAACTTAAGTTGGAGTGAACTGCATGCGTGCGCGTGTGGTTTAGTTATGAAATATATAGACAAGTGCATAAAATAAATATATATGAAATCACAAGGTGTGATTTCCACTGTGAAACTCACACAGCCAAGGTAAACACACTCCAGCCCCTTTCCCTGCTCAGTGCTGCACAGTCAGCACCTGGACAGCTGCTGGACAGCTGCTGAGTCAGCACGCACACTTGCACAGGGCCACGGGAGGGGCCACCACACTGGCAGTTTCCACAGCTTGCGCTGCCACCGGCTGAGGCTGATGTGCAGCCCAAATTGGGAACTACTAGAGATTATTTCCTTTCCTCAGTCACTTCTCTATTTCAATTTGTAATTTTATCACCTTTCCCTGTATCCTTATACCTTATAGTTTGATTTCTCTGCTTTTGAATGTTAAGGAAATAGTGTGTCTAGTTTATTTCGGCTAATATTGTAAGGTCCATCCATGTCGAGGACTGGTTTGATTACTGCAGATTTAGAGCATGCAGGGTGACTTATTTAGGGTGCTGAAAGGAAAAACAACAAACTATCAACCAACACTTCTCCAGATAAACAACTGCGTGAGTCCGTCACTAGGCGACTTGCTGTACAGTAAACTAAGGAGAGTATAGTCCTCTGGGCCAAACTGAAGCCACTAAACAAACTGGAATCCGTAGAGACAAGTTGGTAAAATAACACAATAACACTGCGCTAATAATAAATGGGTTTTAGAAGAAATCACAAAACTGAAGAAAACAGCAGTACATTTTTACAACTTTGGATTTGGTAATCACACTGCCCAATTTTAAGTATGATAAATTTACAGTAACCAATAATGGTGTTGGTAATAACAGGATAGACAGATCAATGATACAGGAAGGGCCCAGCAACAAACCTACACATACATGGATAACTGATTTTTGACAAAGATGCAAAGATAATGCAGTGGAGAAGAGGATGGTGCTGGACAAGTGGATGTCTGTGTGCAAAAAGAATGAACATGAAGCTGTACCTTGTTAGACACACTCACACGCACACTCATTGGATCGAGTCGCATATGAACCCTTAAAAAGAACCCCTGTGGTAGGCTGCTAACGGAATGTTTTTTTTTCCTAATCGTTTTATTAGGGGCTCATACAACTCTTATCACAGTCCATACACACATCAATTGTGTAAAGCACATTTACATCATTCTTAAAACATTTGCTCTCCACTTAAGCCCCTGGCATCAGCTCCTCATTTTTTCCTGCTAACGGAATGTTAAGACCAGCTGTTCAACCCCACTGACCACGAGGCACAAACACGAAGCTGTTTGCTCCCACAGATCCGACTGGGAAGCCCAAGGGAGCAGCTCTACTCTGCCCTGTAGGGTCACCTTGGTGGCAGTGGGTGGAGTGGAACAAATGGTTAGTGCACCAAACGGCTAACCTAAAGGCTAAGATTCAAGTCCACTCAGAAGAAAGGGTGATCTAATTATGAAAATCCGTTAGAGTAACCAGCCTCTGACAATCATGGGGGTCTGTAGGCGCAATTGTACAGCGGTAATACGTAAAGATAATAGTAAAGTCAGAGAATAGGGAAGGTAGGAGGGAAGATAAAATGTTTTATGGTAGCACGCTCACCTCAGCCCCTCTTGGTGGTCTATGTGGAGGTGGGAGACGAGAGGAAATATATTTGTAACCAAGGCTTATATATACTTAGGGGCATGCAAGTCCCCCTGATTATAGGTAACCACATACGTCACCGGAAGGGGATGAGCTAAGGGTGTACATGCAATAGGATGGGGAGCAAATAGGGGTACACACGTGACAAGATGGGAGATCCTAGACTCAATATGGCAGTCTCACCTTGGTCCTCATTGAGTGGGCTCGACCTTGTCTTGGCTCTCATCCGAAGGGAGTGGGCCCTGCTTAGGGTGGGACATGCTAGTCTGATTGCCCTAGATGGCTGATAGCCCTCAGGGAGGTAACCTCTAAGCAGCTGACGTTGACCTCAACGTGTACTGTCATTTTGTTGCATGCAGCGTCTTGGGTTTGGCATATATTTGGGGGACAACCTGGGGCAAAACCCTTATGCATCCCACAAAAAGCAACAGTGGAAAGCCCTGTGGCGTGCTCTGACACCCATGAAGTTGCCATCAATTGGAACTGAGTCCACGGCAACTGTTTTTATCTAGATTCTAGAATATATAGAGAATTCTCAAAGTCAGAATACAGGGCAATTTTTAAAAGGCTGAGTCGAAGAGACCCATCTGACCTAACAAGGTAGAAATATGGTAAACAGGAAAAGATGTTCGGTGCCATTAGTGATTCTGACACTTGTCAAGCACACTCAGAGACCCTACTGTCCTATAACGTTTCCGAGACAAATCTCCCATGACACCAACCGCCACCTGTGAGGTGGCTGGCTGGTGGGTTCGAGCTGCCAGACTCTGGTTTTGCAACTGAGAAAGAACCACCATACCACCGGAGAGGCTGATGAAACCGGAATGAGCAAGAACCAGTAGAGCGAGCCCAGTAGAGCGCCCGAGATCAAAGGCCGCCTGTGGAGAGGATGTGGGGAATCTGGAGACCTCAGAAGGTCCGGTGCCACGTTCACTTCCAAAAGCTCAACTTACACCTACCACACGGGAGCCAGCCACGCCCCCTATTTACCCCAAAGAAGTCACACCCAAGAATGTTCACTGCGCCTCATTTGTGTTAAATAGCCAAAAACTAGAAATGAGCCCAATGTCCAGAGAGGTGAATAAACAGACTGTGATATACTCAGACGAAAGGATTACTACCTGGGAATATAAAGGAACAAACTATGGATACAAGTAATAGAGAATTTAAAAAAATCATGAACAAGTATGAGCCAGGAATACATGCTGTATGATTCTTACATGGAAGTCTAGCAAGTACAACTACCCACTATGACAGAAACATCAGTCAGAGGTGAGAAAGTGGCATTATTTTAAAATGGCAAACAATTTTGGGAGTTGATAAATGTATTCACTAATTTGTGATGGTTTCATGGTATATATATTTTGATAAAGTGTATCAAAAAGTACAGTTTAAATGCCAATTACACTTCAATAAAGCTGCTCAAAAAGTCAGCCTGACAAAATGTAAAAACTGTTAGGACAAATAGCAATAGTAATCCTGCCTACCTTATATAGACAGACATGGGGAG